TAGTACTTGACGTTTTCAAAATAAAATTAGTACTATCAGAACAGGTGAATTCAATAATAGATATCAGGTGGCATTCTAACATTTTTTCTCCTTTCAAAACCTATTTCAAAAGTGAATTCAATACTTTTTATTTATGAATATCTGAATATGGTGAACAGTATAAAATTTTATTTCAAAGTAGAATAATTAAAATTAATTTTGATCAACTGAAATATATATTATCTATATAAAAAATATTTCATCTAAAAAAATTTATTGATATGATCCAAAAATAATTTTCTATCTATTTTATTTAGTTATTCGGTTTAACTAATAATTTATTATATGACACCACTACCAATTATTTTTCTTTATTTTTGTTATTTAATTATCCGAATTTATTATTTATTATTTATTTTTAAATATTAGTAATTTTTTTAATATTAAAATTAGACTAATCATTAAACAACCTGCCTGTCACCTGTCTACACTGAGTAAATAACATCCATGTATATATACACCTTATATCACTGGCAAGTGCCGTACGTCACCTTATTATTATTTTTATTTTCCTTATCTAAATTTATAAATCATTTTCTATTTTAAATATTTGTGGCTCTTGTGATAAATCTAAAAGGGCTATAAACTTAATCCTAATGATAAAAAAAATTCATTTAGAGCTAAAATAATATTATATTATATATATTACGTCATAATTTTTAATTGATGTAATTTGTAATTATATTAAAAACATTTATCATAATTTTCCTAATTTCCTTCCTGCCCTAATTGCAACAACAAACTATTTTTGTTCCTCCATTGAATGAAATAAATTTTAATTTTAAAAATAAATTTTATGTTTATTAATTTAATTTAGTATGAATATATAAATAAATTTTAACATCTTTTTTAATATATGCAAAACATTGATCAATTCTTTAATGATAAGGTATTGATTAACATATATATATATATATTAAATTCTAATTTCACTCTATAAGTGTTTAGTTTAAGGAATTATTAGTATGCGAATGTTTAAATTAATCATAAATAATATCAATTAATTAATTTATAGTGGAATAAGAACATAATTTTTTTTTTAAATGCATAAACTAAAATAAATACCATTCACTTCTAAAAAATAAAAGTAATTTCAATTTTTTTCTCATAAAATTTCAAATTGTGCCATTAATCAATATGAGAGTGTGTCTTATGATTAATCAAAAAAGTATAACTCGTTAAATTATTGGACGATGCGATAAGTTAAATTATATAAAAAAAATGTTATATTTCATGGGTATTTACGTAAAATAACATTTTGATATTATTATAAAATTTGTGTAAAACAAGAAGAAAAAAATGATGGTAAGACATTTCAACCATTTGAAACTATATGCAAGTCTATGAATGCAATTTAATTAGGATAAGTACCAACTACATGTGGTAAGACTAGTTGGTTTCTTTTTTTCTCTTTAGGCAACTTTGATAAAGACTTTTTTTTTTATAGAATTTAAAAGTTTTTTTTAATTACAAATATAATAATTTTACTTTTGAAAAAAAAAAGAATCGGTGTTTAATCCACAAATATATATTTTTTTTGTACTTTCAAAATTAATTTTATTTAGTTTAATCATGCGAGTCGCTCATGATAGATCCCGATCCAATTAAAATGATCTATTTAATTAAATTCAAAATCAATTTTGTAATTAGTTATCACATCAATTGAAAGTTATCAACGTAATAATATTTATATATATAAAAAAGAAATATAAGAAAAAAATATAGCATATAAAAAATTCACTCATTCTCTCTCTCTCTCTCTCTCAAAAAGTTATGTTTTTGCGAATAAAAATAAAAGATATTTTTTTAATTATTTTTTAAAAATTTAAATTTTTACGAAAAATATTTATGTCGTTAATATTTACACGTAATTCGTTATGCATTAACATGATTGTACGTGTCGTTATGCACACTGATATTCGAAAAAATTGTTGCAAAATGAATTTGTAAATTATACGTTAATTTTATTAATTAGTAACGAACTTTGACAATAATGATTGGTAGATGATCGTGAAATTATACGGGTTGATTTTTATATAAATAATTGGTTACGAAATTTATATAGAATTTCAAATATGTATTTGTCTTTTGTAATTATTGATATGACAAAGGCAATGGGAGGAATTGGCAATTCAAGATTTTGCGCCCACAACTTTCAATTGCCATGTCCAAAGCCAAATATTTGACCAAAAGGGAATTCGAATGTGTTGAGTTGTGGAATCGAAAGGGAAGTTGTCAATTTAAATTAAACCGTCAAAATAATTTCATTTATTTTAAATTTTTTATTCTTGAAATCTTATTTTGGGTCGAATTTTTTTTTATTTTAAAAATATTTGTTTTTTATAAATATGAATTTATAATTAATAAAATTTATGGTAGTATTTATATATATATACTTTAAAAATATCCTCTTAAGTATGAAGAAGAATAATTTGAAAGAGGAGGAAAGGGCATCAAATAGTCAAATAAAGTGGGGCCTTAATTAATTACCCAAAATTAAATAAATAGTGAGTGAGTGAGTGAGTGAGTGAGATTATAAGAAGCATTCTTAGATTAGATTATGAAAATAAAATATGAAAGTTCCTCCAAATCTTAACCCACTACCACTCTATTATTCACTAATTAAATCCCTTAATACTTTAATTAATTAATAATTAAATTTAGTCATTAATATGCATATTAATGTAAGATTATGCCAACCATAATTTTATTTTTTATGTATATTTTTTTAAAATAAAGAATAAAAAAAAGTCAATAAAGACAACTAAAAAAATGCATTTTAGTAAAACAGAAGATAAAATATATTTATAATATTTGATTGTATTTATTTACTGAATTTTATTTTTATTTTATTTTTTGTAAATAAACATATTTAATTAAATGGTGAAATTAATTTTAAACCAAAATTTTATTTATTTGTAATTAAAAATAATTAATGAGATTAAAAAAAATAATTAATTGGATGTAAAAATAAAATTAAAGGCGGGTCATTTATCAAAGCAGAGTGTCAAGCTGTTTTTCTCTTGAAAGTGGTGGGACCCACCGACTAGTCTGAATAGACAGGCTATTAGTCAGCCACTCTATTATTACATTTGTTCCACACGTGCCCTATTTTCTCTCTCTACTGTTTATCTCCACGTGACATATTTCCTTTTTAATTTCTCCCTTCTTCTTCTTCTTCTTCTTCTTCTTCTTCTTCTTCACTCTCTCTTTCTTTTTCCTCTGCAACTGCTCACCCTCCTTCTCGGTAAACATGAATTATGACCTCTCACTACCAGTTATAATTTTTTCCCTATTAGTCTCCCTTCTGGCTAACGCCATAACCACCACTAAAGTTTCCCTAAACGACGACGTATCGTCGTTGTTCGACGTGGGTATCAGCTACGCGAAGCAGACTAGAAAAAACCAGTCGAGGACAACATGGGTCGGGTACTCGGACTGTGAAGTTTGGTCCGGGGATTGTTCGAGGGCGGTGCTGGAGCTTGCGAGGAGGCCGGACAACGTCAAGTGGTTGACGGGGGTTAGGAGGAGGATCCATGAGAACCCAGAGCTGGCTTTCGAGGAGTTCGAGACGAGCAAGCTTGTACGAACGGAGTTAGAAAGGTTGGGGATAGAGTACAAGTACCCGTTGGCGAAAACGGGTATTCGGGCATGGGTTGGAACGGGAGGCCCACCTTTTGTCGCTGTCAGAGCTGATATGGATGCTCTCCCTATACAGGTACCTTTCTTCTTAATTACTCCTTTTAATTTATTTCTTCTCCTCATTTATTTTGAAAGATCATCTGATGGGCTGTGTAAGTATATATAGATATACAACATGTCGATGCGAGTACGTGGGAAGTATATATGTATTTATTTTTCTTTACTTTGTCTGTGTTGGTTGATCTGTAAGTTTCGAAGTATGAGAGTTGATCAGAGTTCAAGTTTCGAGGAGAGACTGATTTAAGAAAAAAAGATTCAGGTGATTTTGAGACGATTATAAATGTCAGAGAACAATTATAAAATAACAATAATGATTTAATAATTATGTTGGCAGGAAGCAGTGGAATGGGAACATAAGAGCAAAGTGAGAGGGAAAATGCATGCTTGTGGTCACGACGCCCACGTCGCCATGCTCCTCGGCGCCGCCGCCATTCTCAAATCTCGCCAGCACCTTTTGAAGGTATTTCTCTCCTACCTAAATTACTTAGTATAAAAAACAATAGTTTATAACCATTACTTTCTCTTTATTAAAAAATGCAACATATTTGCATATAGAATCAAAATACTTTGCTTTTATATTTATAGATGTCTACAGGTCTTTGCATATATATATATATACATATATATATATTTTCTCTTGTATCTATAAATAGGGTATAACTATAAAAGCCTTATTTATTAATCTTTAGTTGATTCTGTCCATCTTAACCCAAAAAAGAAAAAGGGTATTCTCATTTTTCCACATCAATGGTCCCAATATATATATATATATATACATTTAATTAATAAAATATATAAATTTACCTTAAATTTTTGAAATAATAAAAAGATTTACAGAAACAAGTAGAAGCACTAAATTAGCATGTGGGGAAGACCCACAGGAAATATAATATGGACATGTGGTGTATCCAATTTACATGTGTATAATATATTCTTATTGTCTTTGTTTACATGTTTAGTCCCTTTCAATTTACCACTTTTTCCCTAAAAATTCAATTAATTCTAATTTTATTTTATTAATTAAAATTATTTTAATTTATCATAATTTTTAATTTGAAAATTATTGGTACCGATCACACGTGTGATATATTAAATTAAGAAACTTCACCGTAATTAAATAGCTCCGTGCTGTAGATTCCAATTACCAAATTAGTAAACACCTTGTCGTTTTCCGCGTATACATATACGTTCATAGATACATGCATACATACATACATACATCGATGTATAGTCCTGCATAAAGCTTTAACGTTTCAGGTAGTTGGAAACATGCCCAATTGGTAAAAGCAAACCTGTAAGTTAGGCCTTCATCATAAATATTATTGTCCATTTTGTGGGCTCTGCTATATTTGAATTCTCACCTAATATACAGGCCTAATTATGTGTGTGTGTGTGTATATATATATATATATATATATATATATAGACATGTGAGCTACTTTGCCAGATTCCTCCATATATATATATATATAAATTATTTTTAATAAAAGTTTGATGGGAATGGGAGTAGAATCATCTATCTCCCTTCCCATTTAAAAATTTAAATTTTTGTCTCGGAAACTTCTATGATTCTTGGAGCAGCGTGCTGATGGGTTGATTGTTTTTTATGCGCGTATGTATAGATTTAGAAATTTCAGGTTGATTCTTTTAATAATCTGAATCAGTGATGTATCGTAGGGGACGGTGATACTGTTGTTTCAGCCGGCAGAGGAAGCAGGAAATGGTGCAAAGAGAATGATTAGAGACGGTGCTTTAGATGATATTGAAGCTATATTTGCAGTTCACGTATCCCACGAACACCCTACAGGTGTTATTGGTTCAAGACCCGGTCCTTTACTTGCTGGTTGCGGCTTCTTCAGAGCTGTAATCAATGGAAACCCTAATCGCTCTGTTGATCCCCTTTTGGCTGCCTCCGCCGCTGTGATTAGCTTACAGGGCATCGTCTCTCGTGAAGCTAATCCCTTGGACTCCCAGGTCTCTCCCACCTCCTCCCCTCAATCTCTTTCTTTCACTTGTTTTAAAATATATTCCTAATTGATTCTATGAATGTAGGTCGTGTCTGTGACTTCATTCGACGGGGGAAACAGTCTTGATACCATGCCGGATACAGTCATTATTGGTGGTACGTTTAGGGCTTTTTCCAGCACAAGCTTCAATCTACTTCTGCGAAGAATACAAGAGGTGGGTTGCTGATGTTTTCGTAATTCTCCATGTACACACACGCACATATATATATATATATATTTGAGTTTGACGAATCAATCAATAGGTGATTGTGGAGCAAGCTAGGGTTTTCAGATGTTCGGCAACAGTTGACTTCTTTGATAAGGAGTATGCCATTTATCCACCCACCATGAATGATGAAAACATGTATGAACATGTTAAAAAGGTGGCTACACAGTTGTTGGGTCCAACAAATTTTAGAGTGGTTCAACCGATGATGGGTGCAGAGGACTTCTCCTTTTATGCCGAACAAGTCCCCGCCGCATTCTACTATATTGGTGTAAGGAACGAGACTCTGGGATCCATTCACGCCGGCCATTCCCCATATTTTATGATTGACGAACATGCTTTGCCTGTGGGTGCTGCTGTTCATGCAACTCTTGCAGAAAGATACCTAAACGAACATGGTTAACATATTAATTCACGTTAAATAGTTCTGTAACTCTCTGCTCTCTCATTCAATTGTAACCTATAACATTATTCAATGTTAAAATACTTTATATACTGGCCTCCCTTTATTTTTTTTTTTCTGAGTACACACATTAAATATATAAATCAAGACTAATTTTTACACATGCAGGAATTGAATTCTAACAATTAAATAAGAGAATATACTCAATCAAAAACATCAATTTTGAAAATGGAGAATCAAGACATTAGTTCCAGGATCCAAATCGAATATCAGCTTCGGAAATGAGATTGCAACCTTTCGCTACTTGCAATAGCATTTTGCTCTACAATATTTGTAATTGTAGGCGACTCTTCCATTTAAGCAGTAGGTTGGCGATTGCAGCTCGTCACGCCACTACTTACGAACAATGGAATAAAGCATCCGTTCCAACTGTCATGTTCTAATGCTGCACCCAACCACAATTTTGTTTATACCTATTCTTGTTACAAAGAATCGAATATCTTTATTACAAAATTCTTTGTTACGCATAACCATACTCTTCCGATACAACTATCTTTCATGAGAAGAGAAGGATGGTCTGTGTATTGATGTGTTAAGAATTCCAATCACGAACCATACATACAAAAACTAAGTTCTCAGCTTTCTGACTAACAATCCCTAGCTTCTTTTTTGTATGGAAATTTCACCTTTTCTCTCCACATAAACATCTAGCAGCCTGAAGAGCAAAATAAGTTAGTATGATGTCAGCACCAGCACGGCGCAGACACATCAATGATTCCATCATCACTCGTTCCTCGTCGATCATTTTCAAAACTCCACCAGCCTTGATCATTGAGTACTCACCAGAAACCTGAATCCATGAAGTCAAACTAAATTCAAAATAGAGAACACAGTAAATGTGGGGGCACAGCAGAACAGTTTCAGAAATGGAAGTATTAACTAACAAACAAACATATTCAAACAAACACAAAGATCACCCAAGAAAACAAAAAGAGACATGCACCAGAAACAAGAGTCGCAATCAGCCAATCCGAATATGTACATTTTTGTGTTTTATTTTCTCAAGTAAAATTGAAGCTTGATTCCAATTTTAATAGAGTTGTTTAAGGGAATATAGAGTTAAAGCACAATTCAAGAAAATTTTTTGTAAAGAGTCAAGTTCGAGTTTGGTTTGAAGCTTGATTCCAATTTTAATAGAGTTGTTTAAGGGAATATAGAGTTAAAGTACAATTCAAGAAAAAACTTTGTAAAGAGTCAAGTTCGAACATGGACTGGCTTGAATAAGTTTGAACTTTCCAATATTTTACAAATAAAATAAATAATTAAAAAATTATATAAAATTTTAATCTAAATAATTATATATTATAGTATCAACGTAAAATATTGATAAATGTATTACATATTATATCAATAAAATACACAAATCATTTTAAATAAATGAATGCACTGGTGAATTTCTATGTCGAACACCTCCAGGCTCAAGATGAATATTTTCTCATTCTCAAAGTTTACACAAGTTCAATTTTGATTTAGTTTGAACCAAGTTTCGATCAAACTGAATTCAAACAGCTTATGATGTTTTTGGCTAGTTACATCTTAAGGAAACCCCAATTCCATTCCACTACTGTTTGACAAGCTTCCTTTTTCTCATTAACATGGATAACAGATCCTTTACATACAAGGAACTGATCCTAAAATTTAAAATGTGTATTTAATCAGACTTTTTCAAAAATAAAATATTTCTCCATATTATTCAAATCACCTTCCTGCTAATTAGTAGACAAAGTTTCCTTCTTTGTTTTTGTGCCAGAGGATATTGTAATTGGAACAAAAGGGACAAGGTCAATCCTGTGATTCACACCAGGTGTGGATGGAAAGAGAAGAGAGGTGATCTCAAAAAAGAAAATATTCGTCCAACCAAATAAAGGTTTTATTTTGCAAGCTTTGGCTCCCATGGATGAGAGTAGACACATTCTATTAGCTTTAGTTCCCATCATCTGTTAGAAACAAGAGACTATAGCCAGAAGATTGAATTATGATACTTCACTATCTATAGGACCAGAATTCCACCTGACAATGAGGTGTGCTAGAAGAGTTATTTGTGCCTGTGTCTAAACCTGATGTTAAACAGTAAGTATGAATGATGGTCATATCAACTTTTTCTTGCATTCTGATGTTAAAACAGTAACTATCATGTTTGTATCAGTCTTTTATTGCATGACAATCAACTGTTGGTTCAGTTCATTAGTATTAAATCTTCTATTTTTCCTGTTCTCTCAACAGAATCTTGAGTTGAACATGGATATGGAGATGAAAAGACTCTAGGTTTGCAATTGGAACTAGGTGAAGAAATTTTAGGCATACCTGATAGGCAGCAATTGGCAGAGGGGACTTTTCCCTGAGAAGCCTTATGATATCCAAATAAGGAAGACCAGGTTTGACCTGTGACCCAAAGAGGGGTTTCCACTTCTTTTAGTAGTACACAAAGTTATCCTGAAGGATCAAAAAAGAAAACTGAAACTTACCAAAAGTATATCAGCTCCTTCAGCTTCATCTTCACGGGCCTCAACCAAAGCCTCTCTGTAGTTTGCTGGGTTCATCTGATAACTTTTGTTTAACAAGCCAAAATTAAATACAAGAGTGTTGAAACAGTAAAATAAATAACCATTTAACAAAGAGGTTAGTGAACACCTACGTTTTTTTGTCTCCAAAACGTGGATTTGAGTCCAGGGCTTCACGGAAAGGACCATAAAATGCACTTGCATACCTTTTGACATAGGGTTACATGTTATAAAGAGTGATTGGCAGATAGTAAAATAGGATTGTATATACAGTAAGACCATTCCACCCAGTGTTAAAAACTTCAGTAGACATATATGATCAAACAGAAAAGAGATACAGGGCACGAGATAAGAATACCACAGTTCCTTGAAAAAAGATACGTGGTCAACAGGAAAACAAAGTGGTAGTTAGTGACATCGGAGAAGGAAATGCTTAATCCAAATTGCTTTTCGCCATCCTAGAATTGATTCTTTTATAGCATTTGACGTAGCAAACAATTCTCAGGCAACAATTGCAGCAGCATGTATTTGTGTAGGTGAAACTTCTTAGCAAAGAAATACATGAAATTAACAACATGGTTTATATGCATTATTGTTATTGCTACAAAGGAAAAATATATCCAAGTAAATTCCAGCATAGAACAAAATATTGTGTAGAAAAGTTAAAAGCATAAAATCATTACTTTGCAGTATATGACATGATGGAAACATGCTGAAAGCCTTCAGCATCAAGAGCAGCACGAATAGCTCCTACGCGACCGTCCATCATGTCACTAGGACTGACAACATCAGCTCCAGCTCGGGCCTGTGGGAGGTCATAGCACCAAAAGAATGAAAAATAAAAAAATCAAATGAACACGAAAACTCATCAACAAGACCTAATAATAAATATTAAAAATCTTCAAACAATGAGTTTTGCGTATAGGTATTCCCACTATAACATCAAAGTAACATGTCCATTAGCCAATTCAATTCAGTCACTAGAACCCTAAACCTCTCTGTCACTATCAATCAAAAACTCAGGGACAGAGTAGCTCCACAGGTTTTAACATGGAGAAGCAAACAGTTTGTTTAAGTTAAGTGAACTTTACACATATAAAACCTAAAATCTCCACAGTTACAAGACACGGTCACCGATTTACTTGATCTAATTTTCAAATATAATTTTCAGAAGATCAGCATACCTGGGAAACAGCTTGTTTACATAATTGAAACACCGTCTCATCATTCATAATAACTCCTACAATTAAAGAGATATATGTAGCAATGAGTACATATAAATCTACAATCATGCAAAATTATCTGATATGCAGAGAACAACCCCATCAAGAATTTTTTTTCCACCAAAAGGCAGATCATTGGCCAAAACATAAACAAATTTTAGACAAATGGAGTTCAATAAAGCAAGTTTTCTGATGTTTATTTTTCTTTTATTTTGAATAATTGTTGCATCTTCCTTGACAGAGTAATACATTCCACAACAAGTACTGAGGTCTTTGCCATGGCACATTTTGATAATACTCTTATGTCTTGATCTCACTCCACTATGTGTTTCAGGAAAGAGCAAATACATTTTACACAAAAGACTCAAAATCAGACCGCCATGTAGAGCAATGGGAAAGTCCAGATTGATGACTTGGAGGTCAGGCATCTGTATGAAGCAAAATAGATGCCAAAATAAGATTTTTGTCAACCTAGTTCACACATGGAAGCACTAGATTGGATAACCTTCTTAACAGAATCAAAGAATGAAATGTGTTCGAGATATTATCTCCATCCCTCAAGAACAAAGCGATAAGGCACCAAGAGGATGCTCTCATATCAAAAGGCTAATGATAGGCAAGAAACCAAATCTATAACCACCCGTCAGAAGCTCTTTTTTTATGCTCTTTCCAAACAGAGCGAAGGATGGAGAGGGGAGTGAGCACAAGAATTATTTCTTTACCCTTGCCTTTGCACAAACAGAGCCTCAATTCACCCTCTCTTACATCACATCATTCTTGATTTGAATAAATAAAAGTGTGATTTAGCATTTCTGCTTTAAGCTAAGCAGGGATTGACATTTTTTTTTCTTCAATGATCAAACAAATAGAAAATTTCATAAGATTCTTCCGCTACTTTCTTTTCAAGACAATAGCAGAAATAAGTGTAAAAGATCTGTGTCTCACCATCTTCTCTGACAATACCATCATGCCCATCAGATGAATATGGATCTAAAGCAACATCTGTGTAGATAACCTGATGAAAGTAAAAAGAAAACGATCAAAAGGTTGCCAAATTCCAACACCTTGAAGATACAACCTAACAAATCTACCATTTTGACTTACAAGATCAGGGAATTTGTCCTTTAGCAGCCGTATTGTTCGAGGCACCAAACCATTGTCATTAAAAGCCTCATCTCCGGCGGGAGACTAGAAAGTAAAACAAATGAAATCATTTACATTTACTAAATGCACTAAAGAAATAATAAATTCAGGGAAGGAATTGAAAACCTTCAAAGCATCAGGAACTTTCGGAAAAAGCACAATGCTGTTGACACCAACATCACGAGCCTTTGCTACCTGGTCGAAAGATTGTCATCCATAGCGTGTTATGCAATTCATAGATGAAGTACATTTAAAAATGCATGCGGAATCAATAAGGATGACTATAGGATCTATGATAAACACTTCAAATGAAAATAGGCCAATCTAAACTTTTTAGTTGCAAGCAACATTAATATAGTCACAAAAGTCCAAACTATTTAGGTTGCTCATATAATCACCTCTTCCACAAGTCCATGTCTCCATCCAAGCCGATAACATCCTGGCATGGCACCAATTGGTGTGTCCTCCTCACCTGCAAGTCTCAAAAATGTGTCATGTCAGTTAAGATACGTTACATATAGGGGAAGGGAGAAGGGAAGAGGTGAAAGGGAGAGAACGAGAAATGAATTAATGTTATGAGAAAACATAACTAATAAGAAATGTCTAAAAGACAACCAACCTTCATGAATAAAGAGTGGATATACAAAGTTTGTGGGTGATAAATTTGTTTCCTGGAACGATGCTCTCAATGCAGGGGATTTACGATTTCGACGAGGACGTCGATTAAGTGACTACAAAAAACCGACATCAATGAACAAGTTCAGAACCATCGTGAACCAGCAGCAACCCATCATTTCAAAGAACATGTCAATCAGACTTCAAATTACCGTACGGAGTTCTACATATATAGAACAAAAGCTTGTTGCGAACAACAATTAGATAATGTAAAGAAAGTGTAAATGCGAAATACTTCAAACCAACCAACATATCACGAGTTTGACAATTTCAAGTTACTGAAACAATATATTAGGCACTATCGCTCAATTCAACCAAAGAGGGACATCAATTTATGTATAAATTCACTCACCAAATTTCAAGGAAGTCGAGAAAATGAATTTCAAACTATAACTAAAGAGGTTCCCAAAGGATGTTCAAGAAAAAGGCACAAAGCATCCTCATCAAGACTATGTGCATACGCTGCTGATACAAGGACAGTTGCATTCCAGCTCCAATCCAGCCGCCAAGAAAGTTAAGAAGAACGAGGAAAGGGAAAGAGAAAGTGAAAAGGAATGGAGGAGCTAGAAGAAAGGAAGTTCAAAAGAAGAGGTCAAAGTACACGGAGAGAGAGAAGCAGCACGTATTCATCAAAAGTAACTTCACATCTTTTGAGCTTATAATTCAATCTTAGTTTCAGTTAATAGACAGTCACAATTCTCTAAACCCCCCACTTCTTTCGTGTTTTCCTTTTATCAGGTAGATACCAATTTTGATCAGATAAGCAGCAAGTTTGAATGGAAACACTCACAATCGGTTGAATCACGGGAGTCCCAGCCGGAGCCGCGGGCTTAGGCGGCACGGGAGGCGCTTCGGGAATATTCCCCGCGACAACAGCGGCTTCGCATTCGGCATCGGTCATCCCTAGCTTCTTGGCGGGTCCATCGCCGGTCTGGCTCGCTCTAACGACAAAAGCACCCCGATGAGGCAACTTGGCCGTCGACGGAGCATAACTGAAATTCAAAGTTGAAGTCGGCCTAAGACCAACGTAGTTGTTGCGGTCAAATCCCTTGAGTGCTGGAACTTTGTAAGGAGCATTAAATATCGTCGAAGCCATGATCAGAATCACTTAGGCAATTTATAGTTAAGAAAATCAAGAAGTGAAAATTTGAATGTTGAACAGAAATACAGAGGTAGAGAGAGAGAGAGTTATCGGCTGGGGAAAGAGAGAAGAACCAATTAGAAGAGAGAGATTGGATGAGTTGACAGAAAAAACTTTATATCTACCAAATCTGACATTGACCTGCTCATCCTCATCCTCATTTACATTTACTGCTGTAACGCCTTCTCTATTTGACTCCGTACTCGCTTTCTCAGCCTCTCGTTTCTTCGTCATGGATTTGATCTTTCAATTCAACTCGTCTAGCTTAATTACAGATGGAAGGTTACCTGCTAACTTGTCTCCACCCTCTTGGGTTAGGTAAAAAATTCGCCATTGATAAAATATATGGTGATGATGAATAGAAAATTAGAAAATCAAAAACATATACCAGACCGGCTTTTAAATATATATTATTAAGAAAATTTTTATTTTTATTTTTAATTATAGGTAAAATGACTAAATTTTTATTAATAAATATTTAATATTATATATTTATAATATTATTTTATATTTATTGTTAAGTTAGTTATGTTTAAATAGTAATTTAAAATTTTGATTTAATTATTTAAGATTTTAATTTATAAAAAAAATATTTATTAATGTATATATTATAAATAAAATATTTATAATTTCGACACTCAGTATATATGTAACGACCCCGAAAATTTAAAATGAAATGTGTATTAAAAATATCAAATGCGGAAGCGAAGTCAAAAAAATTCGATTAATATCCCTTACACTAAAACAAAAAACGTGCTCACAAAATATAAAAGATCAAACTAACTAAAGGAAAAACTTGAAAGTAAAAGCTACGAATATGACTATGGAGTCTTTAGGCGTCCCCTTCGTCGTCCTCCTGCGGAATGGGCTCGGAACAATGTCTTCCTGATCTGAAATGATTAAATAAGGAATGAGCTACACTAGTCCAGTAAGGACATCATGATATATCACCATCACGGAGGTAAAGTTGGGTAGAAAACACAAAAAAACCAATAGAGCATAATTTACAACAAATCTTTTTATCAATAATAAATCCTTTACCATCCACTTACCTCGGTGAAATTCATAAAACAACATACGAAAGCAATAACATTATCATCATCATGAAATTATATAAACTGTATAACATAATACTTATCACGCCTTTTGTAATTCAATCATTACACAACATATTTTCCTCATTTACCAGCCCACTAGTATCCATGGGGATCCATAGGGGTCCCGCTACCCGTTAATCCTTAACACTTGAAATCCGATTCCAGGGCCGTCCCTATACCCCGTCCGGTATGGGCGCCAAAACACATAAGGTCTCCATACCCCGTCCGGTATGAGAGACCACAATCCCGGTAGGGTTCCCTACGGACCCGGTCCGTCCACCATCTCCCAGGATATCTAGTCAAGTTGACCACATTATACAATTATCAATCTACATAATCTTTCATTCTCCTTTTCCTCAGTCAGCATCATCAATTCACATACAAACAAGCAAAACAGTAATTTATGTCAAACATGCAACATACAGCATCAGTATCTCAGTCATTCAATCCATAATCAATAAAACAGTAAAATATGCACACGAAACTATAAAATGAAAACATCAAATCTCATACTGCATTTGAAACTGTAAAATAGGCCAATTAACAGTTAACCGACAAACACACTAGACTCGGGCTCCATTAGCGACCTTAAGCAATTTCACACATTCGTTGATTCAAGAAATACCGTTTTATCATTATTGAACTTAAATACCGTGATAGGAAATAGAGTGAGAGGTCCTTACTCGTTTCGGGGTCCGAACACGGCTTCACAGTGCGCCTACAAGCTGTTCTTAATTTTTCCTGAATTTTTTTCAGGGAACTAAAACGCACTACTGGTACCTGCACGTGTTCCAAAAAATCTCAAATTAGGCCCAGGGCCCCTTTTTGGTCAATATCGCAATTCCGGCACGGGGGCTCCGCCGTGCTCCGGCGACGGCGATTCGCCTCGGTTTGGCCTTTTTTGGCCGAATTCGCCCACACTTGCATCGGTCCTTGCGATAAAACAACCCTCGAGGGGCCAAAAAATTACGGAAAACCGAAGTTTACCGGCGGTGGTGCTCTCGGGTGCGGCGGCTCTCCGGTGAAGTTCGTGTTTTGGTGATTCATCTCCGATCAACCTGTAGAGAAAAGAATGGTGATCACACTGATATAAAAATTGCATCAAACGGAGGCCGGGAAGGGTCTCATCGGAGGCAAAAATCGAGGAGGGGCGCGGCGACGCCGCTGGGTTTCGGCCGTGTTTTTCGGCCGTTTGGCCGGGATTTTGGCTCCGATTTGGCCACATGAGAAATCAGCATGGAAAAACGAGTCGGATGTATGAAATTTACCTCGATCGGCGGTCGGAAATCTCCTCGGTGCGGCGGCGGGTGGCGGCGGCCGGCTTCTCCGGCGTCTGGTTCGTCTTCTCCGGCGAGGGCAGGCGGCTAGGGTTTTTGTGGTCAGGTGTGGGGGTTCTATTTATACCCTTTTGCCTTTTGATCTTAGTCGTCCATTTTGATTTAATCTGGGCCGTCCGTTTTTTATTGAATCTGTGCCGTTCGTGCGATTGCCTCTGGGCCGTCCGTGCGCCCGCTTGATCTGGGCAGTCCGATCGCGTGTACGCGGATCGCCAACGTGGTCCGTCCCCGGTCGACCTGGTTTTACCACGTGGCAGGTCCTGGTTGGCAGGACTGCTGACTGGGTCGCTGACGTGGCTGTTGACGTAGCGTTTTTTTTTTATAAAAAAAAAACCTAATAAAAATAATTAATAATAAAATAATAATTTTTTTTTTTCAAATTTCCGGGCGTTACAATATAACTTTGTAAAATAAATATAATCATCTATTTATATATCCATCTAAATAAATATGTTACTCAATTTTATAAAACTTATAAAAAAATTTAAAACATTGATCTTCATTTAAAAAACTTACATATATATATATATCAATTTCATATGCATGTAAATAAAAAAATGGACATATGTCTTTGCAATACTTATTATATCATTTTTTAAAATAAAATTTTATAGATTTTGTATCTAATCAAATGAGTTTAATAATGATGGGAAAATAAATATATAGGAAGATTAAATTATTTTTTGCAAAATTGAATTTGAGCAACAAAATTGCTTGAGTTTATTTAGTTTAAAAACTTATAATCATTTTTTAATTTATGTAAATAATTAAAGAAAAAAATATTTAATTATTTCAAAGTATAATATTTAGTATATGAACCTTCGCCGTCCATGTTACTATCTTTTTCATTACGACTATCTTAATTCATTCAATATTCATAATAATTATTTACCATAAAAGTAATATTAATGCTCGAAACTTTATGGTAAATTGTACTTCTTTATTTAGTTAATCTAACATGTGAGATTAATTTTTAATTTAAAATAATTATTTTCTACATACATGTACGTAGCTTTGAAAATATGACGAAAATTGATATTCTTTTTGTCAATAAGGCGATATCTTAATTATTGATATTGCGCTAAATGTAACAGTTAAATATGTAATAACTTTTGAAAAAATAAATAAATAAATTGTTTAACTTGTACATGTACACTTTGTTATATTCAACGTATACTTACTAGCATAAAAGAAAAAATAACATAACAAATTAGTCACGTTTGGTCGAATAGTTAGTGTCAGTCATCTTCATAAGTGATCGGAGTTATGGAGTTTGAGCTCAATAAAATTTACTTTAAAAAAAAAAAATAATAATTAACTAAATAAGAAAGCACAAATTACCATAAAGTCTCGAACATTAATATTACTTTTATGGTAAACATGTGAGATTAATTTTTAATTTAAAATAATTATTTTTTATATACATACATATATGTAGCTTTGAAAATATGACGTAAATTGATATTCTCTTTGCTAATAAGGCAATGTCTTAATTATTAATATTGCACTAAATGTAACAGTTAAATACGTAATAATTTTTTTTTTTTAAAAAATTTAAATAAATTGTGTAACTTGTACATCTACATTTTGGTTATGTTCAACGTATATTTACTAACATAAAAGAGAAAATACATAACAAATTAGTCACGCTTAGTCGAATAGTTAGTGCCATCATCTTCATAAGTGATCGGAGTTATGAAATTTGAGCTCAATGAAATTTACTTAAAAAAAAATTAATAATTAACTAAATAAAGAATCACAATTTACCATAAAGTCTCGAACATTAATATTACTTTTATGGTAAACACGTGATTCACATACATGTATGTAGCTTTGAAAATACGACGGAAATTGATATTCTATTTGCTAATAAGGCGATATCTTAATTATTGATATTGCAATAAATGTAATAGTCAAATATGTAATAATTTTTCAAAATTTTTTTAAAAATAAATTGTATAAATTTGTACATCTACATTTAGTTATGTTCAACGTATACTTACTAACATAAAAAAAAAACATAATAAATTAGTCACGTTTGATCGGATAGTTAGTGCCGGTCATCTTCATAAGTGATCGGAGTTATGGAGTTTGAGTTTAATGGAATTTACTTTAAAATAAAATGAAAAAGAATGTTTACCTTAAAACCGAGACGACAACGTTTTCAAAGTGGGTATTATCACTTGTTCTCCCTTAAACCCAGACTCAGCCTCGGTACCTGCCCAATTACTGTAGCAGTCGGGTCTTTTGCCGTTCACCCAACTATTTTCGTTTACTCAGGCCCGGTGGCTTCAGCCATATTTTACACAGGACTGTGTCGGCGCCACTCCTTCTCTTGCTTCTTCACCCAAAACCCTAACTCTTTTCCTTGGCCTCAGTAGCCATAGGTCCCCGTCGACATATTCTCCTCCTTCCATCCGTCCTCTTATTTCATATCAATGTTCTTGTTCTCCATCCCCACTGAATCCCAACCACTCCCGCTGAATTCTCTTTCTCCTTAAACCCTCCTTTAGAGTAGCTCATTATCTATCTGAGTATTCTTCATTTCCCAGGTAAGCGAAAGCAAGCCGCGTCTTCATCTTCTATCCTTCTGCGGCACTAGCAGTTCTCAAGGAGAAATTGCAGTGATAATTTCGGAGTTTTCTTATCAAAGTTCAAACGCTCACGGCCACTTAGTTGCCGCTACTCCGCTGCCGATTTCGCATCCGGCTCGAGACCAGGCCGTGGTAAGAGTCTAATCTCTTTAATTTTGTTTTACTATTTCTTGACCGGACGTTAGAAACCCTACACTTGACATTTTACACTGATTGACGAGAAATGACTTGTGTTGGATATTGATCAACAGATTAAAGGGGAACGCGCTGACTTTAGCTCATGGAGAGATCTAGATCGAGGAGGAACTACTACTACGATCAGGACTATGACGGGGATAACATGAGTAGGACCAAACCTCGTTACAACCACCACTGTCCGCCTAGTGCACACCGGCATCGTGGCAACAGTAACAGCGGTAGCGGCAACAACCGCCCTTCGAAGCCACAACAGGATTCGTCCCTGATGGTGACCACTAGTTACCGCATTCTCTGTCACGACATGAAAGCTGGTGGGGTGATTGGCAAGTCCG